TTATATAAGATACGGATGGTAGCCAAAATCATAGAAATAGAACATAAAACTGTGCTTTCCAGGAGTTACATGGAACAGAAGTCAAATGTTATTGTTTGGTAGATACACAGCTTCAATTTTTCAAGATAAAAACCAGTGAAGAAATGAATGACAGTTGTACAACATCAAGAAAATGTTTACTATCAGTGAACTATAAACTTAAAATGGTTAAGACAGTTTTTTATGTCCTGTGAATTTTACCACAGGATAAAATAAGGAATAAAGGAGTCTGGTACTGGTATAGACCATAGTGGTCTATACTGGTACTTGTGTAGGCCACAGGAAAAGAATAAGAGCACATAGATAAATCCACAAATGTATAATCAATGATCTTTGACAATGAAGCAAAGGATACATAATAAAGAAAAAATAGTCTTTTCAACAAATGGTGTCAACAAAGCTGAATATCCACGTGTAAATATAATGAACTAGAATCCCATCATACTCTGTACCCCAAAAGCAAGTCAAAATGGATTAAAGAATCAAACATAAGACATAAAACATCTCAAAGAAAACAGAAGAAAAGTGTCTTAACATTTGTTTTGCCAATATTTTTTTATTTGACACCAAAAGCAACGGGTAACAAAACCACAAGTCTTTTTCAAGTTTTTATATATTTAAGTCTTATTATACTCAAGTATTTTTAAGATAACCTTTAGGAAAGAATCACTAATTATGAGCAGCATTCACTATGCTCTCAAATCTATTTTAAGAATCATTTAATCCTAACAATAACCCTATCAGGCAGGTACTATTATCATCCTCTTTAGAGATAAGAAGATTGGGCTAGGAATGGCTGAAGAATTTGTCAAAGATCATACATACAGTAAATAACTGATGTTTCGAGAGTGCGAATCAAGGTGGGCTGTCCTTGTCTGCATGCTTAACCACAACAGAATACCATTCCAGTTCAAAATTCATAATACTGCTTTCCTTCTACTAAGAGAAGAGACTAAGAAAAAAAAACTTGCTAAGTGCCACATTCTAAGTGTCATATTCTAACTCCAGTCAGGCAAAAGCATCTGTGTGTCCTTCAAAACAAAACAAAGCAAATCCCAGGGATACAGTTTTGTGGGAGGAATTAGCACACTGAAACCTGATTCTCTGAAAAAAAAAAAAGAACTGAAAATTCAGAGACAAAGCAAATCTCATTCATGTTAAAGAAAAATAATTTTCTTAACTTGGCCAACAAAAATATACAGTGTGAACTTTAAACAACAGCAAAAGATACTGAAGTCCATTTGAAACTAGAGCCTAAATTTATCAGGGAGAGGGAGATCATATCTGATCATAAGAATAAGATAAAATAATGATAAACTTTATCCTGAAACAAGCAGGCAGACATTAACATTGCTTACCATAAGAATTGGGCTGGAGCGATAGCACAGTGGGTAGGGCATTTGCCTTACACGCACGCAGCCAACATGGCTGACCCGAGTTCAATTCCTCTGCCCCTCTAGGAGAGCCCGGCAAGCTACCGAGAGTATCTCACCCGCACAGAAAAGCCTGGCAAGCTCCCCGTGACGTATTCGATATGCCAAACACAGTAACAAGTCACAATGTTACTGGGCCCGCTCGAGCAAATTGATGAACAACAGGAGGACCGTGACCGTGACCATAAGAATTAATTCATTTTGATTTTTTTAGTACCTACATATGCAGCTTATATAATGAATATACTAATATCTAATAGGTTCTCAAGAAATAATGGTAAGCCTGAACTCCACTGTCTCACAACTGAGCGCCAGAGAGATGCCAAAACACTAACAAACTCAGGTAAACTGGGATTTTTTTTTTCCTTGAAAACTCTGGGTCTTCTCTGTGTCACAGTGGGCGACCTCCCCCTATCTCCCTGTATTTTTGGAGCTCCACACCCACATCCCACCAGCCACCAACATTTAAGTTCTCTTCCCAGTTAAAAAGTCTGGATTTGCTTCCTTTCGACCGGAATTGCCAGCATCCAGTAAATCGCAAAAATGACCAACACAAAGGGAAAGCGGAGGATCACCTGTTATATGTTCTCTAGACTTTTCAGAAAACATGGAGTTGTTCCTTTGGTCACATACATGCGTATATACAAGAAAGTTGATATTGTAGACATAAAGGAAATGGGCACTGTCCAAAAAGGAATGCCCCACACATGTTATTATGGCAAAACTGGAAGAGTTTACAGTGTTACCCAGCATGCTGTTGGAATTGTTGTTAACAATCAAGTCAAGGGCAAGATTCTTGCCAAGAGAATTAATGTCCGCATTGAGCATATTAAGCGTTCTAAAAGTCGAGCCAGCTTCCTGAAATGGGTGAAGGAAAATGATCAAAAAAACGAAGGAAGCCAAAGAGAAAGGGACTTTGGTTCAACTGAAGTGCCAGCCTGCTCCACCCAGAGAAGTACACTTTGTAAGAACCAAGGGAAATGAGCCTGAGCTGCTGGAGCCCATTCCCTATCAATTCATGGCATGAGAAGTGTTTGTTTTAAAATAAAGAGACTCCTGGACTATAACAACAACAACAACAAAAGTCTGGATTTTTCTGGAGCACACGGTCACATTTGCGGCCTCACAACATTTCCAAACTCTATAAAACTAACATCCCAGTAGGAGTACACCAGTTTGGATGGGGTATAACTTATGAGCCAACTAAACTCAACTAACAAAAACATTAACACAGAAGGTTCAACTAGCATCAACAGCTTTAGTAAGTACCCTCAGAGAAGTACTTAATGGTCCCATGATGAGATACAACATTTTTCACAAATTTTCTTTAGCTGAAATATTTTTTGATCATTCCATTAGCCATTTAGTGGTAGCAAGCAATATAAAATAAATTATTGTGGATCTGTTACAGGGGCTTGAGGGGTGGTTAGGTGACAGTGGTTGAATATTGAATGCCTGTAACAAACCATCATAAACAACTTTGTAAACCACAGTGTATAAATAAAGTGGGAAAAATAAATAAATAAATAATTTCTTTTAAAAAATCATTCATGCCCAATTCAATCTGCTAAATAGTGGCTGAATAAATAGCAGTACTCCTACATAAAAAAAATCATAATAGCGTCTTATCATGAGTCAAGTATTGTTTTAGGGGAGAAAATATAGATAAAAAAGCTCTAGAGACATTGTTAAGTCTATACAGTACTTCAAAAAGGTTAGGTAAAACACATGTAAAAAATTTTATAGTGAGTATTAGTTTAGAGGAAATTTATGATTAAGAAAATTCATGAAAAAAATTCAAGTGTTTAACCCCTATAAGTAAATGACAATGCCTCAAAAAGCTAAGTATCACAGATTCCAGTCCTGCTTTGATATATATAAGTGCTTTGTGATCTGTGTTGTCACTTAGCATAAGAACTAACTCATCTCCAAAGATGATTCTAATAATGCATGCTTAACTTATTTCACAAAAGATTGTAAGTTAATTCATGTTTACAAAATATCTAGAGATAAGAAGATTATCTTAATAATACATTGCAGTCTCATAATACTTCTTATCCAAGAAACTCAGAACCTATAAACTATTACACTGACAACATACTGTTTTCCTTATTTAATGCATGGGAAATGTACAAGAGATAAGATTTTGACCTGGTCATAACAAAATCAGTAACAAGTCTTGAATATAAACCATTATTCTAAAATGAGTCAATGGCCTGAGCATTGTTCATAAAACCAGGCATTCCCATCTACCAAGAAGTCCATACACTACAAGGACAACAACACTGTATGTTTTTAAAGTACGCAATATACAGCAGGAAAAAAAATCTTTGTTTCAAAACTATCCCAACCTATAATCAGTTAACCAATCAATTTGTACCATTATAAGTGATATAAACTTGACCCCATGTGGCACTTCCACTTTATTATAATAATTTAAATAATTATCATTTACAAAATGTTTGTACCCTTCAGACTACTTTATAGCCATTAATTATTGAAACTGCTCAACATTCATTTGAGACAGTCCAATGTTATTATTGCCATTTGCCCAACAGGGAAATGGGCAGGACCAGACTATATAACTTCCTGTGGTTATCAGGGCCAGAGAATGAGAAGTGCTTACCTAGGACAAGGAGTTAGAGTTAGAACTAGAGTGTCATAATTACTGGTTTTCTAAGAAGTGATGAAAGCACCCCTCTCCTTCAGAGTTTTTACTCCCCATTCATCAATATGAAGCTTGTATCCAAAACATATTCGTAAGGCTTGAAGTACATACATTTAAGACCAAAATTCACTAAGGTATTTTTAAAGTAGGGAAATAAACAACTTGAAGACTCAGATTTAGCTGAAAAGACATTCTACTCCAGGACTAAGCCAGTGATTCTATCCATGCTTCAAATTTCTTATTTTTAGTTAACTTGTCCTGTAGAGCTTCAACTAATCTAGCTTTCCTGTTTTGTTTTGCTTTTTAATGAATAAAAAAAATCATACTACCAAAAGATGCTGGTATATTAAGAGTACCTGATTTCAATAGGGAAGGAAAAAAATCTACCTAACTAAGGATTGAAAAAAAAAAAAACTCCTGCAAATGCTTATGGAGCATATTAATCTATATGCATTTGCAGTCACTTCTCATTTGAATAATGACTTCTTTGTTATAAAAAAAAAAGTGGGAGGAAGGGGGGTGTCTAGAATCTATTCCAGAGGTTCCAAAAGTCAAACAGATGTACCTTTACTCCTATTTAACTTTGACCTTTGGAACTATGATTTGGTGTCGCTCCAATGAGCACCCTTTTCCTATATAAAGATGTCCTTGGGGCAGCTTTCCAACTACAGACTGGTAGACAATATGAAAAATCACTCAATTATAGAAAATAACAATTAGGGTGCTAGTAATATTTTATTACATCTGGGCCTCGTTAACACTGGAATGACCTGCTGCATCCTATATAAAGGCGCAGGAGGTAGCTTCGGCGGGCTGTGAGTCTCGGCTTTGCTCCTTTCTGAGAAAGGGTCGCCTGTACCATGTCTTTCCGGCTTTCTGGAGGATCCCGGCGGGTCTGCTTGCGAGCAAGCCCAGGCCGGCTGTCCAGTGGGACAACGGCCTTTGGGACAGGGAGTGCCAGCACGGGGACAGGAGCAGGAAGCAGCTTTGCTTGTAGCCTTGGCAGCATCTCTTCAGGGGGAGCTTTCGGGAATGGTGGTGGAGGGCTGGCTGGTGGCCTTTACAAGGGTCTTCTTGGAAATGAATACGGTGTTTTCACTGGGAATGAAAAGGTGACCATGCAGAACCTCAATGACCGCCTGGCCTCCTACCTGGACCATGTCCAAGCACTCGAAGAAGCCAACGGCGACCTGGAGCAGAAAATCAAGGGTTGGTACGAGAAATATGGGCCTGAATCTCTCCGAGGACTTGATCGTGACTATAGTCGTTATTTCCCCATCATTGAAGATCTTAAAAAGCAGGTACGAAATATGACCTTCATGCCGTGGATAAACTTTAAGGAAAAAAAAAGACAAAATTAAAATGTGCTTAACAAATGTAAGTGCTGTAAGTTTTGCTCACTCTGTTCTCGCTGCTTAGAGCAGTGCCTGGCAACAATCATTTGTAAGTTTAGGGGCTGGGGGGAGGGAGATAGTGCCAGGGGGTAGAGCGCATGTGTGAGCCTCCCAGTCTCCCCAATGGCACCCTGGCACCGCATGGCCTCCCCAGAGCAACACAGAGGTGCCGCTGGTAGTTCTCCCGGCACCACCCAGCTGATCAACACTGCACAGCTGTGCCCATCGACAAGTATCTCGTAAGTGGCCCCTGGACTGTCCCCACCCCACACCCCCCCAAAAATATCTAGAATCAATGAAGGCAGTTGTCTGAGGTCCTGGGTTCAGAACTACAGACAAATTTAAATAATAAAGGGGAAATTCCAAATACCTACAACCACTTAAATGATTGTTAGATCATGTTATTAGCTCATACTTTCTGAGCAAGAATAATAAGACTATCTATGACGGCCAAATATTACACCTTGACTTTTAAACTCTGGATCCATTATCGGAAGACAATCCAGATTTCTTTGCTGTATTTTTTAAGTGAGGCAGAGGGGAAAATGAATGAGAAGGACCCTTAAACCTGGACTTCCAGTACTAAACACTTTTATACAATCTACCCTGTTTAGATTATTTCTCTGACCAATTGCAATGCCAGCATTGTTCTACAGAATGACAATGCCAGACTGACGGCTGAGGACTTCAAGCTGAAGTAGGTGAAAATAAAATAATTATTGATCATAAAGGTAAATATGCTACCATCAGAACAAACAAGCAAAACAGAACATACCTTTCTGTTTTCGTAGTCAGATGTGTCCACTGGCAAAGTTAAGTATACCCTTGTAAAAAGATAATAAAATTGAGCTGAAGAAATTGAATGGGTTTGGGGGGAGGGTTGATGTATTTGTGCAGCTGCTCTGGGTTGGATCTTTGGCATCACATGTGGTCTCCCAAGTCCTTACAGTAAATTCTGAGAAGTTCCCCCCAACAAAAAAAATTTAAACAATATTTTTATTCAGCCATTAAGCACATTGGATGACAAAAATTTTTAACTTAACTGTACAAAATGAAATAGGACAGAAAAAGTATTCCAAAAGGCTGCATCATTCTGCTGTGGCAAGAAACCTCCAGAATGTGAATGGAACAGCCTATTTTTAACTTCTGGAAAAGTGACACTTTTCTCTGTGAGGGACGATTCTCCAGTACTTTCATCACCTTTCAGGTATGAAAATGAGTTTTCCCTGCACCAGAGCGTGGAGGCTGACATCAACAGTCTTCACAGACTGTTGGAGGAGCTGACCCATTGTACAACCGACCTGGAGATACAGTGTGAAACTCTCAATGAGGAGCTAACATCCCTCAAAACCAACCACGAAGAGGTAAGAAGCTCTGTAGCTTCTTCAGGCCTTGCTCAAGGCCACTATTCATTTCCTAGAGAAGTGGAAACTGTGGTCAGAATGCGCGTCTTTGAGTGTTAATCCTGACTCCCTTCCCAGGAAATGAAGGTTCTGCAGAGTGCAGCAGGGGGGACCGTGAACGTGGAGATGAACGCCGCCCCAGGAGTGGACCTAACAGTTCTGTTAAACAACATGCGCGCGGAGTACGAGCTCTTGGCTGAGCAGAACCGCAGGGATGCTGAAGCCTGGTTTGATGAGAAGGTATGTCTGGGGCCCTTCAGATGCCTTGTGCTGGCTCAGTAAACCACCAAGCCTCTCACTGACGCTTTTGAATATTACACTCCAGAGTGCTTCACTGCAACAGCAGATCTCGGTGGATGAGGGAGCAGCCTCCGCAGCCAGGAATGAACTGACAGAAATGAAACGCAATCTGCAAACCTTGGAAATCGAATTCCAGTCTGTGATGGCCATGGTTCGTAGGAATCACCACTGATTTTAGTGTATGTGTGTAGGTGTAAGGATATATGTACTATAATTAAATGCATATGCAAGTATTTACACATCAATAAGACTATCAAATATATTAAATGTATATGAGTTAAATAATCCAAAACTTGTTCATAAATTTACATCACTTCTGTTTTACCAAATGAATCCCAAAGATTTTTAATCCTTTTTTTCCCCAAATTCTTTTCTTCATAGAGAACAGAATGTTTTTCAAAACCTTGTTCGTGAAGATGGTCAATTGAAAAGATTGTCCTCATACAAAGATTTTCTTTCTACCTTGGAAACTGTTTTAAATCTGAGTATGGGGAGTCAGAGTGATAGTACAGTGGGTAGGACATTTGCCTTGCATGTGGCCAACCCAAGCTCCATCCCTGACACCCCATATGATTTCCTGAGTTATCCATGAGTGATCCCTGAGAGCAGAGACAGGAATAAGCCCTGATTACCGCCAGGTGTGGACCCCCCCCCTAAAATCTAAATATTTCATTTATCCTTTATACATGCTTTGTTCTTTCAGAAACATTCCTATGAAAGCTCCTTGGCCGAGACCGAAGGAAACTACTGTCTCCAGCTCCAGAAAATCCAAGATCAGATCCGAGGCTTACAGGAGCAGCTGCAACAGATCCGAACTGAAACTGAAGGACAGAAGCTGGAATATGAACGACTCCTCGATATCAAAATACTTTTAGAAAAAGAAATAGAAACCTATTGCAAATTAATGGATGGTGAAAAAAGGTAAATATTAACATATGAGAAATTAATCTATTAATCAGGTTTGGGCAGGATACATAGTGGTCAACATGGTAAATTCATATTTTCTACACGCAAGACTAGACATGTGTATAGTCTCTGTGAAATGAAAAAAAGAAGCAAAATTAAGTCACTAAACATGCAGTCTTTGCTGCTATACTAATAGAGCATTTAAATACAGAATGATGTACTAGTTCCTGAATTCTGATCTAGGGGGAATTGCTTTCTATGATTTTGTGTAAGCACATTCCTTATAACAACATTCCCTATTTTATTATTGCATCACTAGCTAACCCACATGCACCCTGTGTTAAGTGGGTTATTACATTTTCATTAGGAAGATGAGCAATGGAGATACAGGAAAATCTAATTGGAAAAGTCACCATATCTTGTTTGCCAAGAGCAATAGCACTTGAATTGCAGTCCCAGATGCAGATCCCATCATGGGTGGATTGGAGCATCTTAACCTCTCTAAACTCTTTATTGGGGTTCCCTTACTAAATTGCAATATCCCCAAAGTCATCCCCTTAACTGATCTTCACCATAGTGCCTCCCTGTGTTTGTAAAGTGCACATGACTTGTGGTGTGCAAGTGACCAGTGGCTTGCTCACAAAAGGTTCTCAGTCACCAGTGATTACTAAAGGCTTGCCACCAGTAGAATTTGATGCATTCTCCAAGGCCAATATTCACCCTCTACCACCAATTCTCACTAGAACCCAGCACATTGCTGTCTCCTTCAAACTACATAATCCATATTCAGTCATCCTACAATACCTTTCATGACATGTCATAGATAACTTTTTTCATGCATACAATGTGATTCTGACACTGTGAACTACCTATGCCAGTACTGCTTTTAACAGCATGTACCCAGTGCCAGCTATAAACAACCCAAACATGCTTATGGGTGAGGTGATTGGAAAGTCAAAATGAGAATCTGACATCTTCAAATTTCTAGATGAAAGAGATAATATCTCAAGGAAATTTCTTATTAGAAACATCTAGTTTATCCACTGGACTATATGACTTCATGAAAAGATTTCCAGTGCCTCTTATACAGAAGAGAAATACGAATCTTATTGCAGCTAGAACTCCACACCTTAATTACAAATTCGCAGTATCTGTAAGCTCCCTAATGAATGAAAAATACAATAATTTGCTTTTCTCTTTACAGTAACTGCAAAACAGTAGGTTACAAAGCAAAAGCATGTGGGCCTGTGAATTCTGAAAGCCAAGTCAAAGGTATAGTTTTTTTTTACTTGTGTAACTCTTAAATTATAATGATAGATTAAATATGCCACTTATTTATAAGCCAAATATACTTGTCTCTAGGTTTAGTTCCAGTGAATCTTTATGAGGAAAGTTCTTTATGATCATTCTTAATATTTTCATATTGTATTCTTATAATCAAATTATGAAGTTTTATTCACACTTTCAAACACTCAGTTTTTAAATGTTGATGATAGGAAAGTATAAATTAAGCATGAACTTAAAACATAATATTATATTTTAATTTACTGCAAACTAGCAACCCCATTTTTTTAAAGATACACCAACCCTAACGACCAACTACCTTTTGAACTGCTAAAAATGAGTATGAAATTTTCATTTTGTTTTAGACTCAAAGGAAGAAATTGTTGTCAAAACAGTGGTTGAGGAACTAGATCAACGTGGCAATGTCCTTTCACTGAGAGTCCACTCTATTGAAGAAAAATCCTCTAAAATAAGCAACATTACAATGGAACAGCGAGTGCCATCTAAAGCACCTTAGTGAGCAGTTCGGGAGAAGGTTATTTGATAAATAACCCAGGAAATCATTCATTTCTATTCTAAAGAATGAAAAGGCTAGAATTTTCTTTTGCTCCTCTTCCTTTTCTCTTGTTCTTTACATGGAGTGGGAAACCATAAGCTTTGACTCTAGCTTTTGTTTGTATGGGGGGAACTCTTTTGCCATTTCATTAAAGTCTTTTCCTTTGTGACCTATTTTTGAAAAATGTGCTGCCTGTGACTTTCCACAGTTGGTGTCAGTGTGAGCATAAGAGGAATCAGCTTTTAATATCAAGCACTATTCCACAGTCAAGTGTACTTCAGTTCATAAAAGGCTACTTTGGACAGAACACTGGTCCTTTGGTCCTAAATATGTCCCTCATTAACTATGCAAATGACTAGATCTCTGGGTTTGGGCTTCTGTAGGTATAGAGAATTCACCCCACTGATCTGTTATTAGGATCTTTTCACCTTCACAATAGCCACCCGACATGGGTGGTTAGCTAATATAAGTTTGTTGAATTTGATCTAGATATAATGCGTTTTCCCTTTTTCTGTATATTCATTTTCCTACCAGGGAGGAAACAAGACAAATTTAGAACAGCACTACTCTAATCTGGAGTGGGTCTCTAACCTGCTCATCTCCTCCTGCACACAAGATTCTACTTTACCAAATTATTTTGTAAAGAGTAGGTGGAGTTGGATAGAAACAAAACTTTAGACTAAAGAGCAGTCTAATTGAGCTAAGTTAGAAATGCTTACCGAGGCAGGACCATGATGATACTCTCTGACATCTATTATGCTTTGTCATCTATTATGCTTTGTCTCACTTTACATGAATTAACCAATTTAATCTTCATGAAGGTTTATGAGGTAGGTGTTCTACTATTTTGATTTTACATGTGAAGCTACATATATTCTATTTGATTAACTTCCTTCCCGAATTAGACACTGATGTGTGGTAGGTCCTAGCCTTCAATCCAGCAGTCCCCCATCCAGGGATCAAGACAAAATTAGTATAAGATCCTGTTGCAACCCAAAGGGGACCACAAAGAGGTCAGTCCTTATGTGCATGATCAGCAAAGACAAAAGGAGTAAGGCTTTTGTTTCCTGTGAAGATGTGGCCATTTGTCATATAGCCCACTTCTCTCCAACACCAGCCTCCTCTGTCACTATGTTGATTAAGTCCTGGTCACCAGATGCCCTTCTCCCTTAGGTTACATTTCCCCTCGCTTTGTTTCATTATGTTTCATTCTGACTGTTCTGGTTATCCAGAGACTGTCTTCCAGAAATAGGAATATAAGAGCTAACATCTCAGTTCACTCAGAACACTTGGTTAATCTGCCATTTGAATAACCATTTGAATCAATCACCTTCTTCCTCTGGTGCCCACCAGTGTTCAGTCCTTATACTCAGCAGAGTTCTTAATCTTTCCAAGAATACCTAACTTTTATTTTTATGACCCACTCTTCCCAACTAAAACACCTAGACTCTCCTATCTTTATTATGTATATAATGTAACAGGAAGGGCGTAAACCTTGCACACGGCCAAACCGGCCAGGTGCAATTCCCAGCACCCTATCTGGTCCCTCGAGCATGGCCAGGAGTGACCCCTGAGCACAAAATCAGGAGTAAGCCCTGAGCATAGCCATATGTAGCACAAAATGTGAAAAAAAAGATATTTATGTTCAATACTTGCATAAACTATGGTTTCAATGTTCTTTGTTTGTTTGTGTGCTTGCTTGCTTGTTTGTGCCACATCTGACGATGCTCAGGGGTTACTCCTGGCTCTATATTCAGGAATCACTCCTGCCAGAGCTCAGAGGACCATACGAGAGGCTGAGGACCACACCCAGATTGACCAGGTGAAAATTATGCTCCTTACTTGTCCTGTGTCTCTAGCCCCCAACATACTTATTTTTAGTTAACAATCATACTCCTTCGGGGCCGAAATGATAGCACAGCAGGTAGGGTGTTAGCCTAGCATGTGGCTGACCTGAGATCAATCCCCATATGGTCCCCTGAGCACCGCCAGGAGTAATCCCTGAGTGCAGAACCAGGAGTAACTCCTGAGCATTGCGGGTGTGACACCCTCCCCCCAAAAAAAGTCAAAAAAATAAAAACTAAACAATCATACTTCTTGAAATGAAAAATAAAAAGTTTAAGTGCTCATTCTCATTCCCAGAAAGTCAGCCTTTTCCAAAATATAATGTAAAAAATTATTACTAAAAGTCTACATATTTCTGAAACTTTTATTGGGCCTCCTTAATTGTTAACTACCAAACACTGTATCCCTTATTCAGACACACCTCAAGTAGACAAAACATATCCTATACATATCACCTTCAGTCCTTGGAAATAAGAATTTTATAAAGCAGGCTGAGAAATTATTTCCCTTTAAACTCTAAGTCAGTAAGAATATAGATCACTGGAGTTTGTATAAAATATGGGCTAAAGAGTCTGACAGGATTTATGATTTTAGTCCTACAAGGATAACAGAAAGCCAGTACAAAAAAAAGACAAAATATAGTGTCATGCTATTTGTCCTGTCTGAGGACATCTGGAAAGCCATTTTTTATCTCTGACTAATGTCTTTTACATTTGCCCTAAGCTCTGGTACTGATATAGGAGTCACATTATTCAATGTGATCAGTTCAATGCTCTATTCAATCACAGTACAGAGAACACACTTCTTCTTTCCAAAAATAGCAGTATACTGAAATTTTTTCTTCATCCTCTCTATCCCCACCAAACTTTATTTTAAGGAAGCCAAAAGCTATAAAACCACACATATAGAGAGAATGAGAAAGAATTGTAAGTGGATTTAAAAAGTAATTTTTTGTAAAAAGAAAAAAAAAGTAAATGGAGAAATTTCATCTGCTCCAGAATGGTGTAAGAGGTCTCAACATCAACAACAAAAATATGTGTTAAAGGGCTTGAACTTACAGAATTCAGGAGAGATATGGGACTTAGAAGTAAAGTAAAGTAAAGGCCCTCCCGTTGATCATCGATTTGCTCGAGCGGGCCCAGTAACGTCTTAGAAGAGGTTTAATAGGGGAACAAGCTAATAGACAAACCAAAGGCAGGATTATTGACAGAGGTAAATGCATCATGGTGCTAATGAAGCTTAAATTTCAGGGCCTCTCCTTAGCATAGGTAGGATTATGTTCATACAGCCATCTTTGTAAAATGTACAAAACCAATTATGTCATAATTGAATAAGTCAGCTATCCCTTTCCACTCAAACTTCTGCTCATCACACTTTCCCTCATGTCAGGTGACATTGAAATATCCACAAGTATTTGGGGTACAGTACTAAAATAGACTGACCACACAACTTCTTATTCATTGTTATCAAATGTACTATTTTAAAAGTGGATAAATATGATCTAAATCTTAGTCCAGAGAGATAGTACAGTGGATTGGTACTTGCCTTGGGCATGACCAACCCAGGTTCTATCCCACCATATGTGATACCCCACAACATATGGTCCCATGAGCCCACCAGGAGTGATCCCTGAGGACAGAGCCAAGACCAGGACCAAGGCTTGAAAATGGCCAGGTAGGGTTCCAAAACCAAACAGTAAAAGATGTTCTAAAACAGGCATATAAACAGACATGAACTGATCTAAGATAGATCTATGCATATAGAGTCACACAAGTCAAAACAAGTCATGAGGAAGTTGAGCTGAACGTAGTGGGTTATTCTTTTTGGAAGTTCTCATTCTTTCAATGGGAGACTTCTCAGAATCCCAGGGCCTTCTGTCTGACTCAGCTTTCAGCGTCAGAGCAGAAAGGTAGAGGGCAACAAGCTATATTATGATATGAACAGATGGTACCACACATGGCACCAGAAGTATGTAATTCATGGAAGAGATTAAAGGCTTGAAGTGTGTGGAGTCAGAAACTAGTCTACAGAAAATCATTTGAGTCATCAAATGTGTAATTTTGTAAAGAACTCAACTCTTCAGCAGTGCCTGAAGACAGAAGTCTCCTCTAGTCAGGAATATAAGAATAATGCAACATATTTTCTATATGTAATATTGCTTTAGGCTCATAGTATACAAAATTCTTAATTATATTTTTGCATAATTCCCATTAAATTTTAATTTGTGATGAAAATTAATAAGTTATGAAAATTGCATGCTTCTAAGAGTGAACACAAGGCATCTGGTTCTTTGTGACTCATTTTAATGCCCTCTAGAGAACATCCCCGACTCCCAGAGAAACCTCCACAATGATATGGTCAAAGCGATTCATCTTGTGGAGCCTCTCTTCTCACTGCTTTGATGCTTACATAATGAGTCTACTATCAAAGCGATCATTGTGACAGACATACTTGAGCTATTCTTGGGCCCAATGTGTGGGGTCCCTCCCACGAAGTCAGCTCAGGCCACAGACCTGTCCTCATGACAAGCAGGCACTGTCTTTGAGATGATGGTACCATTTGGGGAGGAGAAAAACTAACCACATGCTAGTAAGATGATTCTCTTGCATCCCTTTATGGGGAGTAGTATTTTTACATAATAGAATTAACACTCACTTCAAATGTAAGTTTTTCTTTTAATTCCTATAGCATTTTTGTCTGTACCCACCATCTGAGGACCAGAAACTTAGTAAGTATCAGGCTCTGGATCCACTACCTACCAATGGGTTTGAATAGAAAATGGGAATCTCCTTTTGGATTTCAAAAGAATGTGAGAGAGAGAGGGAGAGAGAGAGAGAGAGAGAGAAAGAGAGAGAGAGAGAAGGGGAGAGAGAGCAGGAATAAGGCAGTATTTTTTTAAATAAGAGCTAAAATTCCTTCAGAACTGATTAAAAACACCAGTTCATAATTTTTTAAGTCTAATGCATTTTGATAAAATAAAATTTACGTTGAGCATATTGTGATAAACTAAAAACAAGATAAAAAGATGTTCACAATCAATAAAGCATGGTTAAATTGCAAAACAACAAAGGAAGAAAAGAGTATTTTTAATATCCAAGGAAAGGTGTAATTTATCA